CGAATTTTCATTGGTTCTAGCACAAGAGCATAATCTTCTTATTTCTCAAATTTTTGCAGTAAGTAGGTCAATGTGCTTTCAGTGACATTTTTCGGGTTATAGTGATTAATTCTGAAAATTTTTGGCATATTCGGGAAGGCATGAAATGACGTAGGTGCAAATTACTTCATGCATAGGTAAGTTGCTAATTAATCTAATTAAAACAGCTTGTTTAAAATGTTATTTTTTCCCTACAGCCATGGAGCGACGAATGGTATATATATACCTGTTTCAGAAGTAATCGCTTCTGAAACAGGTATATATTTTTCAGGTATTCAATTCAAAGGTAATAGGTATATATTTCAGGTATATGTATAAAATATTAAAAGCACAAGGAAAAGCCGGAGCAGTGTCGATGTGTGTGCTTAGATCCATATTGAAGAAGAATTTTGATTGCGTAGTATCTAAAGAACTTGGCAGTCGAGGCGATTTTACTTCCATTTTTATTTGCAATTGAAATTTGTGGCCACAATCGCTTGGCACCCTAGTTGTGCCTTTCCACAGAAGATTTACATTTTTGATATTGTTGAGATAGAAAGCAAGCCAGCGAAATTACATTTTAGCAGAGTAGAGAGCAAAAGCTGAAATGCCTAGTTATGCAAGATGGAAGCACGCGAAGAGAAAAGTTTTGGTTTGCACTTTTGGTGATTGGTCAAGAAGCATCAATTATCAATATCAATCTGCATTAAGGGTTAAGTAAGATCGCATGATTAATTTGAATGACGCAGTTTAAACTTAAGCGCTATTTTTAGAACAGATAGATGAAGTTCCCAAATGAAATAAAAAAATATAAGAGGTTATAGTGAATTAATTAAATTTAGAAGTTTGCTTTCATATATTTTATTTTACATGTATATATATATATATATATATATATATATACCTTTTTCAGAAGTAATCGCTTCTGAAACGTAAAGCCAAATTTACTGCTAGATAGTTCTAAATATTTCAAATATTTTGGTACTTTTCTATATAAAAAGACCAATAATAATAATAATAATAATAATAATATATAATAATATAATAATAATAATAATAATAATAATAATAATAATAATAGCATACTCAGGGAAAGAAAATTGAAAGGAAAATCAATTTTAAACAGTGTGAGCTTGTTATAACGATTTATTACTTGGAGAAATGTTTATAAATATGAGGTATTTCTAATTTCTTATATTAAAGAATGTATTTTTTTCTAAAACTTACTAATGCTTACTCACAAATTTTAGAAACTTTAGCTTCAATATTTTACATATGTAGTATTAATTTCTGCATTTTTACATTCCTTCTGATAAACTACAACTACTTTTATAAAAATTGCATTTAAGCACTAAATTAAAACTCAGTTATACAAGTCGTGAATGACTTTAGCATGACCAAAAATTCCTAAATATTATTTGTGTACAAATGTGAAAGAAAAGTTGTAATATCCTTGAAATTTATCGAAACACTGCGTTTAAGATTTGAAAATAATTAAATAAATAAAAGAAACATATCAATGTTAAATGGCTTTTATTTTTCAGGCAATCTTAATAAAAAAGGATAAATAAAGAAACATGAAAAAATACTGCTAAAAAGCAAGTGTATTAAAAAATTTATGCAAATATTAGAAAGAAGAATAAATAAAATTAATGCATCTCCCATGAACTAATACTAAACTTTAATCTTTTAGCCACGTGTCATTATCCTTTGAGCATATGAAATAAGTTCGCCCTGAATTCCAGAAGTACTGATCTTTATCTAATAAATATTTCAAAGTATTATTTCATTGCTGTAAACAACAGCATTCGAAGTCATTGCTCTTTCAATATTAAAGCATCAGCATTTCATAAGATGATAAATTAGCAAAGATACAGAACATACAATGAGCAAAAGACTTTAAAGCTGAGCTAACATTCAAAATAAATTCTATTTTTTTAGGTTTTTTTTTCTACAATCCATTTCTATGATAATTTTAAGAGCTATGATAGAATTTATATTAATATATATTAGAAAGAATGAACACAGTGTGCTTGTAAATCAACATCTATGAGAAAGGTTTTCGGAACTATTATTTAATACGGGTAAAATTTGATTCGTTGATTACAACTAAGTTTAGCTTAATTTGCTTGTAGATAAATTGCTAGATAAGATCAAAAAACTTTTATTTAAATACATTTTATGTTAAACTTTTACAAAAGAGTACAATATTATTATAACCCAAATTTGACATAACAATTGTCTCAAATGTTACGAAGAATAAAAATGAAATTATACTTTTCAAAGTATTAAATCCCATATAATGATAAATTTAAACTTTAATTCATATTTTTATAGTAGGAATAATTTCTCGAAACATCGTAAGAAAATTATTCGAATTATGATATTTAATAATAGTATTTCACAGTTTTTAAACTTTAAAAGTTGCGATTATGAGGACGATGAGATAACAGAATTTAGTCCCCAAAGTTAACACATCGTTTTAATTTTTCTTTTCCCCTTTTAACTATATTTCTACAAAGCCATACGCATAAACAGATTTATTCTAGCATATGACTAAAAAGTTGATATTTATTTTTTCCAATTTTTATCACTACTTCCAAATTACCGAATTCATAATTGAGTGTTAGGATGAATGTTAACCAGTAATTGGAACCAACCTTATTATTTTAAGCAACGTACTTTGCCTAAAATGAAAGCAAATTTGAATATAAATTATTTAGAATAAACAGTTGTTTTCATGTTCAAAAGTATTGTTAGATCCAACTCCTCAGCAATAAGACCCGAATTTTACCAAGTTAATTAATACATGAACTACATTAAAGCAGAAATCTAGTTGTTTTCATGAATGTATTCATTTGGTGTTAAAGTTTGATGCTGAAATGTTAGTTAATTGTTATAGAACAATTATTGAAATAAGATTACAAAGGCTAAATATTTTCATAAGTAACGGCTGTGACAAATATGAAATAACTACGAGTATAAGATAAGTATATTTATAAGTATATTCAATAAATGATAATTTAGTAATACTGATAAGCATAATTTTTAAAACTGAACTGAAATTAAAAAAATAAGGCATCGTATAATAAAGAAAGTAAAGCACTATATTTTGAACGTAATACAAAGAAATGAAAGTTTCAAATGTAAAACATGTATACAATAAATATATAAATATAATAATAGTAATCATTTAGATAAATAAGTCAAAAATCAAGGAATTCATTCAATAGTTGACAGTAAAATGTTCCAAAATTGTAAAAACTTAATGTAATTTGAAATATATATTACAATAAAGGAAATAGATAAGCATGAAAAAATATTACCGGTAAACAACACGGAAACAAAAAATATAAAATAGGTAAAAAAACAAACAAAAGCACAACACGAAGCAAAATAAATGTACAAACAAATATAAGATAAAAAATATATATCCAGCTAAAAATATACGTACTTGTGAGTATAATTACCGAAATAAATGTGTCAGAACATAATTCATGAAAACGAAACGTTTCATAATACAATAATTGAGAATATATGTAAATAACAACATATGAAAGAAAGCAGAACAAATAGCTTAAGTAAAAGAATTGTTTAAATTTGTCCATGCACAATAAAATAATTATTAATTTATGCAAAACGAAAACATATACAAGGGATAACTAGATATAACAATGGTAATTATTCATAATACTAGAACAGAAATATATAGAGGTTTTAGCATCTTTAAAATGGGTGACAACCAAAAAGCAGCAATAGATGGTTTTAAAAAACGTATTGCACATAAATGCAGTAAGTTAACAATATATATTATAACTATTTATTCTTAATCGTATTAATGATTTGTTTTGAAATAAGGAAGCAGAAATGTCTACAAAATTGATAACCTAAAAAACTATAATCGGTCAGAGTAACCCAAAAATGCTTCCAGTCAATTATTTGAAAGCTGGAAGAATCGGTGGTAATTCATTCCAGCAAAACCTTCGTAAACTATCAAGTGAAAATAAAAGCCCTCTTAAGAGGTAATATGAAAACGGTTCTAACATTGTATAAAATGAAAGTTTGCCTGTGTGTTCACAAATGCCAGTTGACGAATCAGCTCAAAAGTTTTCACTTGATTAGGCACCGAGTTCATTTAGTTCAAAGGCCATCAAAGATATCTAATTTCAATCCCTCCAGAGTGGTGTCATAAAAACTGCGGAAAATATGTTACTGAAATCGAACCATAAACTTTTAACAGTGGCAGCGAATACCACACATCCATTCGTTATATTCACTGAACAGTAAGGCTAACGTAAAAAGTGAGCATCCAAAATATTTAGATAATCAGCATTTGCCACAAAAGCATAAAATGCACATTTAAAATTATTCTGTCAAATTTATCGCTATGAGAATCTGAAAGAAGTTTATCAATATCAGGAGCAAAGAAGAATGCTGTAATATCTCATGAACGACAATAAATGATAAATGAACGGTAATGGCAAAAAACCTTTAAGGGATTCTGAAAAGAACTAATTTTTGTTTCTATCACTTTCTCTTTCCGGTAACATCATAACCAAGCTAGAAAGTGTAACATATAGTTATATATATATGAAACTATACACACAGAATATATATACACTATTAAGCACCTTTTTAAATTTAGGGATTAAAATAAATGCCATTTCCAAAGGAGTTTTTAATATATTAAAAAAGTAAATTTAAATTAAATATATCTTAATGTTTTTAAAATGCAACAAATGTAAACAAGTTATGTCATTTTAAAAAAGGAAATAAAAATCGATGCTTCCTTTTCCAAAGAGTATCTATTTCTCTTCGATCCATTTTCGACGTTGTAAAATTTAATGCCAACTACACTATTTATGTCTCATTTAAAAAACAAATTATGTCATTGAATTCATCCATGATAATTCACTTAAAAACTTTAAAAAATTGGACAAAAACAGACACTAAACAACGAGGCGAATAATTAGAAACATTACCTTTTCCTGAGCAGATCGTATAAATATCCATGTGAACACTTTCCCTGCCATAACTCGACTATAAGGGCGTCGGGAAAGATAAGAATTCTAAAACGTGGATCGCCAGTAGAGAGCCCGGCAGGAGAATTCCTGTCAAACACTGCTTCAGTGCATCTATTTCCGAAAGAAAAAACATCACTGGAAATAGAAAGGCAAAATTATGGGAAAGAGTTATTTTTAGAAATAATAGCTCACGTTGATTCGGAATATTAAGTTAGTCTGGAAGCTGGCAAGGTTACAGATCAACGGAGCGTAGTTTATAAAAAGTTGAAGAATATGGAAATTCATGAAAATTAGTTGCGTTAAATATGGCATTTTGCCTATTTTTAGAAACAGTGATAAGATAAACATAAGCGATGGATGTCGGATGAGAATCGTTTGCTGGATTTCAAGGGTGGTATATCAATGACCAAATAAACAGGGGAGATTGCCCTTGCATAGAGATTCAAACAGACTCTTCTCGTATTACGGATGTGCCTTGAGGTTTGACAATCCTAGTTCCGCATGCAGTTTCGAACAAACAAGCGAATTACTGCGGATGGCTCTAGCCATCCTTAGAGAAGTTCAAATCTTTTAGAAGATCTGATAGGAGAAAAAAAAAATCTGGGAACATGATAATTTTGAAATACTTTTGTACATATTAGTAGGTTCAAGGGCTCTCCTGAATCTTTCACTGAATAGCAAAAGCCATGTAATGAGTGAAAGTATTATTAAATAAAGCCCTCAACTGTTCCCATATTTACCACAAACATATGATTTTAAGTTCAGATTGTAAAGTATTCTCATAGCCAGCGGCACAACTGGTATATGAATGCATCCACTTTGATCTGTTACAGGCCACTGTTTTAAAAATATTCTGCACTTTAGCAATTAATCAAAATAACTATGAATCCAGTCTTTTTAAGTTTCAACTAAAAAGAAAAGAACAATTTGGTTTTATGAAATGCTGTAAGAATAATGCTGCATAGGCCTTGTTTATATGTAAATATTCTTGGAGGACAAAACTAGTGGAGTTTTGAGTTGAAAAAATAATTACTATTGCTCGTTTGTCCAAACTGCTCTAAGAAAACAGAACAAAGTATAATGCCAAAGTTCTATCACTGCTTTTGATAAGGTATGAAAGCCTACCTCTCAGTGACAGTCCTTTAAAGTTGCTTCATCATCTGTTTGAGGTAGTTTCAATAATCGGTCTTTAAAACCGAATTAAACTTCCGCTGCGAATGAGGCTAAAGTTATCAAAATTTTAAAAATGTAAGGTTAATAAATTCTGAAAATGTTATCCCACATAATGCTGATTAAAAGAAAAAGTAAAGTTTAAAGAGAAAATTCCCTTTTAGATTATTATTGCCTTAAAAATGAAATAGTTTAGGATTTAGTTCGAGTGACTTGATTATACAAGTCTCGATTATGCTGCTCTGCCTATATTTACCAAGACTCAATGTGTATGTAATCCATAGAATTACAATATTAAATTATGTTTCACTCTAGACCGAAGGACAACTTATTGCCTCTTAGTGAAACAATTATAACACGGATGGTGGTTTAAAAGAAACTTTTTTTGTTATAATTTAACAAATGCACAGCTTGTGCTTAACAAAATCCATCACCAGTGCTTTCGGGAGCTAAACTAACATAAAGTATAGTTTAAATAAATAACTTAGAAAATTACCGAATAAGCACGTAACATTAACATAAACTTTGGCTCAGGTTTCTAAGAACGCGAGCAACTTGGTTAGAAAAAGGCCATGGCCGATTAGGTAATTATAATTGGAGGAGTGTAGCAAAAATCAGCGTCTGTGCCCAAAACGAACCACCCTAACTTCAAGAACACTATGTACTCATAATTGATGTTCATCCTGTGAGATCCGATGAAATTAGAAGTGAGAGTAAAGATAAAAATAATAAGATAATGGGTTAATTAATATAAAATTTTTAAAATATTTCTATTGTTAACAGAGATGTAAAATAGACACAGTATCTATGTTTCCATGATTACTTCATTTAAAACTAGAAGAGGCCTGGTGATAATTACATACTTACACTGATAGATTATTTCTCCTCTGTGACATCATTAATCAACATTTAGGCATAAATAATCATTAAGTTTTTAACTTCAAAAAAATTAACTGTATCAAAATTATCAAAAATTAACTGTATCAAAAACTTTCAGAAACTTACAAGCTTTTCAAGTATATGCTCGGATAATCCGTAAAATAGGTGATCTGCACAGGTATAGTCAGGAACTTAGTTTAGTCTCATAATTCATTCCGTATATAAATTTTGCCTTCATTTCGCCAACTGTATCAACATCAAATTTTCAGCAGTTTAACCACTTTTAGGGATACGATATTTTATTCCGTAGGATACTTCAATAGCATTTTCATCATCCATATTAGACAATAATATATAATTTTAAATTGGGATTTCCAGATAGTCACTGAAAAATATTCATTAATTATTGTTTGTAATTGGAGTGTTAAGTTTCTAAATGATGCAACTGTAATTTGAAAGTTCGTATTTCCAAATGATGAAGCTTCTCTACGTGTCCTCTTTTGTGAATCTTGTGAATAAATATATCTGTATAATCAGGGATCAGAATACATTCTTTTTTTTTTTTTTTTTTTTCTTCTAAAAAGGACAGCCGTTTGGAATTTTCTTACTACTTCTATTTCTTGCCTCGGCTGTCAGCTGCGTTTTTCGAAAATGTTTGGAACGCACCCTAGATCAGAGCTATTATTCATGATAGCTTTCATTCTGTGCGAAAATCTATGTTTTAGCTACCTATCCATTGCCATTTAAACAAATCATACATTTAACAACTGCAAAAGAAAAAGTAATGTAAAACAAAACTCCCCGCTCAAGCAAATTTAAATCTAAAGAAAGACATGCATAATGCATTTGACGATTCACTCAATGTTAAAAATTTTATTGGCTGCGAAACATTTTATATAATTCATTGTGACAAAGCGGAAAAGAGGGTGCCGTCATACAGTGGCTAAGGAGTAGAGCAATTTAAACGGTGTGGGGAGGCTGGTTGTAACTAATTACACCGCTTTCTAACGCCCTTTGATCAGTGACGGTCACAATGGAACTCCTTGCTATTATACTCCAGTTTATTCAATGACAAATTCAAACCTTCTTCACGTTTCGTTTTCTTACCAATAATTCTTATAATACTTTCTTGTTATTGGCCACTACTGAAAATGTTTTTCAGTGACCTTGACCTACAGTCAGGGTTTGCGCGTACCACAGATTTGTACGCGCAAACCCTAACCGCTATACTGTAGTCTCTCCGTTTAACTCTTTCCCTTAAAAGTGTACTGGCGTAATTTTTCCTCTTGTAATTCTAATAATTCTTGTTAATGCCTTCCCCCCTGGCGTAGTTCCTCCTTCCTTCCGGGTTTGAAACTAATAATAATAAGGAAAGAAAAGACAAAATAATCTGAAAAGATTCAAATTTTAACTTTGCATCAGCGGCTTTGTTAAGGTTTTTATGCTTTTCCTGAGCATCGCCAGATAACCAATCTGTTCTTGTAACCTTCCTATTAAGTATTGCTTTCTTCACATTTACATACAGAATTCAGTATCAAATCCCAACAATTTTGAAAGCAGCATATATTTGGAATTTCTGATACAGTGTTGGCACACATTTTTCTATTTTTTCAATCCATCATATCAATGTTGCGTTTGCTTGGTAAGATGATATACAAAGCCTTTTTTTTTTTTTTTTTTTGTCTTTTTTATTATTAACGTTTTGTGTGTTTAACGCTATTTATTAAATATAACGTACTTTGTACTTACGCCCATAAAATTCAGCACCAAAATTACAAAATATTTAAAAACAGCATATATTTAAAACTCCCGAGAGGGACAGCTGCCTAAAATAGTTATCATAAAAAAGTGTATAATGATTTTAATGAGCCCAACTTACTTCATAGAAATAATATTTCTGATAGATATCTCATAATTTTAATGAATTTTTATTTAAATCAATCACATTAAAAAGTAGAAAATTTTTTCTTAAGAACTGCGTTCATTGCTTTTAAATCGCTTAGTTTGTTATTTAATAACCTTCCATATTAAATCTAAAAGTTAATTAACTCAGGTTTTACTAAATGTCAGTACATTGAAGCGTGGAAAATGAAAGTACTTTATTTCATGATAGAGTATTAGGTTTTTTACACTGGCCAATGAGTTAGAAATTTCACTTGATTCCATTTGAATGCGCGCTGAGGATGAAGTATGGAATTTTTTTTATGATGTGGGTTACACGTAGTTAGAATGCCAGTACATGTAAGGTATAAGAGTCCCTTACACGATGAATGAAGTAAAATGGGAAAAACGACAAATCTTTCACCATTTGAAAACGGGTTTATTGTTGGTGTCCGCTTAGCAGGGACCTCGATTTCGAAGACAGCAAATCTCACTGGGTTCTCAAAAGCAGCGATATCAAAGGGGAGCTTAGGGAGCTTAGGGCGCAGCCCGATCCACCTTGCAAACCAAAGTTTGCCCTATGACCCTATAAAGGCTACGCCAGTGCAAAAACCACAAACAAGGAAAAAAGAGAAACATAAAATAATCGCAACTAATCAAAATGGTGTGTTAATAATTAAATAAAAACTAAAGAGAAATTAGTATTCACATATCACACAAACATCACAAATCACACAATGCCAATGGCTTCTTTAATTGTTATTAATAATCATCATAATCTTAGGTGCTATTCCTCTTGTCTTAAGTAATCCATTTTTCATGAAATCTATGTTCGCTCCATCAATGCATCCGGTTAACTTACATTCTGTAATAAATTGGACATTGTCTCCTACTTTTGTACATACTTTACATAAATCATTATCTTGAACATGGATTCTTTTCAGATAAAAGGGAAATACCCCATGACCTGTAATTAACCGATTCAAGTTAATGGCATTGTTAATATTCATATTTTTCTTAGGAACAAAAATTTTCATGAAGATATTATTTTTATCATTCTCATTGAGTCCGCCATTTTTCTGCAATGTTACATTTCATAATGTTAATGCATCTTCTCTTGGAGGCTTGTACATCGACAGTTTCAATATCATTACTCATTG